CGGGTTCGAGACCTGCCTGGGCAGCAAGACCTCATCTCTACAATAAATCAAAAAATCAGCTGGGTGTGGTAGCACACACCTGTAACTCCGGTTACTCGGAAGGCTGAGACGGAAGGATCGCCGGAGCCCAGCAGGTCGAGGCTGTGGTAGCCGGGAGCGGCCACTGCACGCCAGTCTGGGCGACAGAGTGAGACTCCAACTCAAAAAAAAAAAAGAAAATGGAAGCATAAATAAATATTCACACTTCCTTTTAAAGACTCTGAGTGGAAAGCACTTTTGAAATTTTAAATGTAAAGTCAGAGAAAAAGTTCAATATTATTGTAATGGTTTCAGGTGGGAAAAATGACTTCTTTGAGGAAATGTACTCAAATATAGGAAACAAAAAAAGATTATAGATTATTACACAGTACACATAACATTTAAAAATACAGTGACTTTATTTCCACTTTTTTATAGTCCCCAGTATCGCATCTGATAAGAATCCTCATCTCTTATAAACACAAAAATATTCCAAGAAAGTATGCTACAAGATAGTACATATAAGCAATAGTTTGGCAGAATTTATCAACTATAGTAGTTCATACCTCCAAAAAACAAATTTTAAAATTCAAAAATAACAGTTAGCTTTATTTAACATATGTTATACCTTAAACATTTAAAATATCATGCTCTAGTTAAATATTTCAACATCACTGTATACAAATAAAATATTACACAAAATATATTTAAGAAAATGTTTTGGTCTTTGATCCGAACAATAAATAAAAACACAGGCACTTCTACACAGAGACAGGGAAGCAATCACTACTCAGAATAATAATTTTATATAAGCAACATGTGAAAATATGGCAACAGTAAATCCTGGAGTTTTAAACTAACAAACCACTTATATGAAAAAGTCTGCAACTTCAACCTTTCACTTAAGTTCAAAAGTTACATTTGCTTTCCTGGTCCACATTGAAAATTCACAAACTCAAGATGGCTGTCAGGGGCAACTCAATCTTCAGTTGGCCATTATGGACTCATACTCATTTTCAAGTACTCCAATTAGATAACTATTATGATACTAGCCAGCAAACCAAGTACAAGAAAAATTTAGCCCTCTTTTGTCTTATTATGACCATAAAACCACAACAAGTAAATTAGATGAATGTCACACAGTGATTCTCATTTTGCAAAATTAACTAATTAGATTAACACAATTAGATTAACACAAGAAAATACTGTTGGGTGGAAGAAAATTTCCACAGAAGTCAATTTTCTAGACAATTTAAAAAATTTATCCAAAGTCCCATGAAAACAAATGTAATTCCATTTCACCAAAGCCCCTGAATCACATATCACAAAGTCTTTATAGCCAATAGGTTTATAAACACCTGACTTACAGATATATCAGTTATTATAATAGGAAGTAAAGCTGAACACAGTGGCTCACCCCTGTAATCTCAGCACTTTGGGAACCCAAGGCTGGAGGATTACTTGAGCCCAGGAGTTTGAGACTAACCTGGGCAACATAGTGAAACCTCTTCTCTACCAAAAAAAAAAAAAAAATTAGCCGGGACCCATCTGTGGTTTCAGCTACTCCCAGCTACTCGGGAGGCTAAGGCAGGAGGATCACACCTGAGCCCAGAAGGCTCAGGCTGTGGTGAACTGTGATCGTGTCACTGCCCTCCAGTCTGGGTGACCGAGTGAGATCCTTGACTCAAAAAAAAGGGGAGAGGAGTAGGAATATTTTCATACAGGAGGGGGCAAAACAAAAACAACTTGAAATGGTCAAATTCTAGAAACTTCTTATTTCAGATGAGAAGGGGGACTAAGTAGAAAATAATGACCGCTCGCCAGTGGGAGGAATCAGACCCAGTCATCCTGCTGTATCTTTCAAAAAAATTATCTTTTGCTTTCCCTCTTCACACAAGTACCAGATTGAAAGGTTTAGAGGCCCTCGTGGGCACTACTTATAAAGGCAATTTTAATGGCTTAATACAGAAATCACCCTAATGTGAGAACACAACATGGGAACTACTCAAAATACGCCTTTCTATGCAAAATTGAGTTTGTATGTATTTTAGCATTTTAGATGGGCATTTTGCAACCGAGACCAAATATCAATCATCTCTTGAGGTTTTCTACTATGTACTAGCATCAGATCTACATAGGAACAAATGTTATTCTTGTTTTTCTCCTCGATATCAAATGTCCTGAAGCCTTTGTGTTTCTCTGGAACGAGGCCGAGTTTCTGAAGGCACATCCCAGTATAAACGTCATCGATGGGGTAGAGATGGACCTGGTCAGTGATATGGTACAGCCTCTGGGCCAGGCGGCCAGAGTAGAGGAACCCCCCTCCCCCAGCATAGGGTGGGTAGAGGCCAGAGTAAACAACTTCTGGGATGTAGTACTTCAGCTTCTTATCCCGATGAGGTCCAGCATTGTGGATCACATCACCTATAAACAAATCTTTGGCTTTGTTCTTGGATAAGCTATTCAAGTAATTCAGGATGTGATGGGTGTTCACAAAAACATCGTCATCACCCTTGAAAACGAACTCAGTGTCTGGGCAGGAGGTACTTACCCACCTGAGAAACAGCACTTCCTTCAGAGACAAGTTGAAGAAAGTATCTCTGTAGCTCCACATGAGAATGTCTTGGTGCTTCTCACTTTCAAATTTCAGCATATCGGAAAGGTCGGGGTGGTTGTCCTCTGGGGGGGTCTGGCCCAGCAAGAAGACTCGCACCACGGTCTGGTTCCCCACGCTGCTCTCTCTGCCCCAAGATTCCCGAATTGCTTGCCTTCTGGCAAAATGTGGAGTGAGTGACTTAATCGCCAGCAATAAGAAGGGTTTCTTTGCACATTTATCCGGCTGATCTATAACCAGTGAATGATTGCGGCACCTCAAATACAGGAGAAAGTCTTTAAATCTGTCCGGCAAGTTGCTGAAACCCGTCACCACGGACGCGACCCTCAGGTCAGGCTCACAATGATTCAGATGGCTTATGTTGGAGAACCTGTACACCTCCCCCGTCTGGTTGGGCAACATGCTCAGGATGGGGTTGTACCGTCTGTTCAGCTTTTCTTGTTCCCTGTTCCAGTAAGCCTCAGGAGGGCCAGATATCTTCCAGAACTTCTCTTTGGGTATTATTACTTCTCCCTTTCCATTTTTTTCTTGGCTGCTGCTTTTGGAGACTTCCACAATCAGATAAATGAAGACATTTGCCATCATCAGGATACCCAGCAACTTTATTCTTCGACGTCCAACACTCATTTCTCATATCTAGAATAAATAGGGGGAGTCGTATTAATTAGATAGTTACTAATTTGCAGTTGTACATATGTTTTAATTTCTTTGACTTGCCTCTGTCTCCCCAGGAATAGTGGTTTAGGGCAGAGACTCAAGACCTGCACTGCCTAGGTTCAAATCATGGGCCCTTTCTTTTCAGCTTTGTGACCCTAGGCCAGTGGTATAACCCATGTCACAGCTTCTTCATCTATAAAATGGGAATAATAACCTACTTCACAGGATGGTTGTGAGGAATATATTATATGGAAAGCTTTTAAAATAGCGCCCGGCCCATAGTAAGCACTATGTAAGTGATTGTTTTAGACACCCTGAGGGCAGAGATACCTATTTCTAAATAAACTCATGCATGTTCAACTTTATTGCTTGCAAGGAAACATTCAAATCAGTGCCTTGGCAGAGTGTGGTGGCTCACACCTATAATCCCAGCACTTTGGGAGGCTGAGGCAGAAGGATTACCTGAGCCCAGGGGTTGGGCAACTTGGCAAGACCTTGTCTCTACAATAAATAAAAAAAATTAGCCGGGTATGGTGGCACACACCTGTGGTTCCAGCTACTTGGGAGGCTGAGGAGGAAGGATCACCTGAGCCCAGCAGGTCAAGGCTGCAGTAGTTATGAACGTGCCACTGCACTCCAGCCTGGGTGACAGAGTGAGACATCAACTCAAAAAAATAAAAATAAATCAGCACTTTGCAAACAGTGCCTACAATTCATAACAAATAAACTTTATGCCATGTTTTTAGTATATACACATATAACTACATTTATGTGTGTGTTGCATGGTATGCAGTTCCATATAATTTGTGCTAAATTTCTTTCTTTCTTTCTTTCTTTTTTTTTTTGAGTTGGCGTTTCATTCTGTTGCCCAGGCTGGAGTGCAGTGGCACACTCACGGCCACCCCAGCGTTGACCCTCCGGGCTCTGGTGATCTTTTCGCCTCAGCCTTCCAAGTAGCTGGAACTACAGACACGCGCCACCACGCCCAGCTAATTTTTTATTTATTATAAAGATGAGGTCTCACAAGTTGCCCAGGTTGGTCTTGAACCCGCAGTCTCAGGCAATCAATCAACTTACCTTGGGTCTCCCAAAGTGTTGGGATTACAGGCTGAGCCACTGAGCCCAGCCTATTTTTTTTGTTGTTGTTTTAGTGTTGGTTCTAACCCTGGATTATTTCCCAACCCACCACTTCACAGATAAGAAACCAAGGCACAGAGATTAAGATGCTTGCCTAGTGTTTCAGGGCTAGGAAGCAGAGGAGACACTAACCACACTGCATGTTCAGAAAGATACAATGAAAGAAGACATATGCCAGCTTTATCCCAATAGCCAAAGTCTGACAGCGTTCCAAATATTATCACAGGAGAATGGTTTATCAAATTGTGGCATACTCACTCAATAGTACACCCCTTAGCAATAATACAAAGGGAAACTCTTGTTTTGTTTTGTTTTTTGTTTTTAGAGACGGAGTCTCACTTTGTTGCCCAGGCTGTTCTTGAGCTTCTTGGCTAAAGCGATCCTCCCACTTCAGCCTCCCAAAGTGCTGGCATTGGAAAACTATTGTTATAAGCAGCAACATTACATTGTAAATGAAAGCCAGACCCAAATTTTCATTTATATTAACTTCAAGAACAGGCAAAACTAATCTAGACCCTAGAGGGGTTTGGAAGGGAGGTAGGAGGAAACTTCCTGGAGTATAGAAATGTACTATGTAGGTCTTAACCTTGATGAGAGCTTCACGGATGTGCACACTCACCAAACTCAAGCTACATACTTAAAATCTCTATTGTTCACAGCAAAAAGAAAAAGAAATGCAAATGACATTTTAGTAAAATATCAAAGTATTTCAGGACGTGGGTGACAGAAGAACAAGGAATGAGATGGTTTGCAGGGGATAAGGCCAAGGTTTTAACACTATTGACATGGGTGGACTGCACAAGAACAAACATTGAGACCAGCCTGACATTGAAAGACAACCCCAGAAGATAGAATGGCAATACATTATGAAGAGCTATAAGGGTTTTCTTTTTTGTTTTTTGACTTGGAGTCTCACTCTGTCGCCCAGAATGGAGTGCAGTGGCTGCTCCCGGCCACCGCAGCCTCGACCTGCTGGGCTCTGGCGATCCTTCCGCCTCAGCCTTCCAAGTAGCTGGAACTACAGGCGCGCACTACCACGCCTGGCTAATTTTTGATTTATTGTAGAGACGAGGTCTCGCCAAGTTGTCCAGATAGGTCTCGACAGATAGGTCTCGAACCCGTGGGCTCAGGCAATCCACTTGCCTCGGTCTCCCAAAGTGCTAGGATCACAGGCTGAGCCACCCGAGCCCAGCCTACAAGGGTTTTCTTATCAGGTTACTTCTACAGCTGGGAATTTATCCTTAGGATACGTATCCTCACTTCTGTTCACATCTCACACTTGAGGATGTACACATTTCAAAAAGGGCAAACTGGAATCCCAGCCAAGACAATGGAATTTCAAGGTTACCCGATCAAATAGCAGTCATTCTTCTCTGACCTGTAAAACAAGGTTGCGTGACTATTTTAATCAAGAGTAGTCCTACTTCATTTTCTTTTTTGAGTCAGGGTCTCATTCTGTGGCCCGGGCTGGAGTACAGTGGCAAGATCACATCCCACCACAGCCTTGACCTCCTAGGCTAGGTGATCCTTCTGCCTCAGCCTCCCCAGTATTTGGGATTACAGATACATGCCACCACACCTGGCTAATTTTTTTACTGTATTTTTTGTAGAGATAGGGTCAAGCTATGCTGCCTACATTGGTATCAAACTTCTGGCCGCAGGCAATCCTCCCATCTCAGCCTCCCCAAGTGCTAGGATCACAGGCATAAGCCACCACATCCAGCCAATAGTAGTATTTGCTGTTTTAAACAGAAGAGGGTTTTTAAGTTCACTGGGGCTTCTAACAGTCGTAAGGTAGAAAAATACCTGTCATATTGTGAACGCTATGAATCTGTTACATGTTGGGACAGCCCAGATTAGATCAATAGGCATTCACATGCTATTTTGTGTCTCTTAAAATCTGTCTAGTAGATCCTCACATCTAGCGGCTTGTATTTACTACTGCTACATAGTAAAAGGGTTTTTTTTTTTTGTTTTAAAACCCCCTACCCCATACTCCCAGTCCCAATCACTACCCATCTCCACCCCTCAAGAATCCAGCACTGAGCCAGCAAGAAAGAAGAGCCTTCTTAAAACTTTCTCCCAAAGAGGAAACCAGACATTTCTTACTCCTTAATTACACACTTAAAGTAACCCCAACTCACACAGCCTGAATAATTCAAAAACATCCACACCTCATTCTCGGGTCCACACCTTCCCTTAGGTCAGCTCCCTTCAGATGAGTTTTTGAGCAAATCTTTTTTTTTTTTTTTTTTGAGTCGGAGTCTCACTCTGTCGCCCAGACTGGAGTGCAGTGGCCGCTCCCGGCCACCGCAGCCTCGACCTGCTGGGGCTCCGGCGATTCTTCCGCCTCAGCCTTCCAAGGAGCTGGAACTGCAGGCGTGCGCTACCACACCCAGTTAATTTTTTGATTTATTATAGAGATGAGGGCTCACCAAATTGCCCAGGAAGGTCTCGAACCCACGGGCTCAGGCAATCTACTCACCTCAGCCTCCCAAGGCGCAGGATTACAGGCTGAGCCACTGAGCCCAGCTAAGCAAATCTTATGAGCTCTGTAAAGTTCTGAGTTGGAGACATCTTTGGCACCTACACCTCTTTGCAATGGGTCTAACTTGCACGGGCAAGAGAACGGAAATGCACACTTGGGATGTATTTTCAGGCCAGGCGTGGTGACTCAAGTCTATAATCCTACTTTGGGAGGCCCAGGTGAGAGGATTGCCTGAGCCTGCATCCCTACGATAAATCAAAAAATTAGCTGGGTGTGGTAGCGTACCTGTAGTTCCAGCTACTTGGAAGACTGCGACGGAAGGATTGCCTGAGCCCAGCATATGGGCTGTGGTGGCTGGGAGTGTGCCACTGCACTCCAGCCTGGGAGACAGAGTGAGACTCCAACTCCAAAAAAATAAAAAATAAAAATAATGTATTTTCAGAAGTATCTGATGCAGCTAGTCACCTTTTTTAGACAATAAATCACAGATACATTTAAGTACTTTTTTTGACTTCTAGATTTGAGACAAAATACTTATCAAAAATAACTGGTTCTCTGTAAATTGGGACAACTCTCCTAATGCTATGGTAGCCCTGACCCAGTACCACTGATTCTAGGTCTTGTGCCTTTCCTGGGCTCAAAGAAGACAAGGAAATGTATGAGAATGAATGGAAAAAACTGTGAGGAAAAAGATTTGGAAAGGGACTCAGGGGAGAAAAGCATATGCCATGAACAATTAAGTACCTGGCAGAAAGTTTCAACTCAGCAAAGAAATTCAGACATCAATAGACGATTACCAAAACTTCTAGAGTGAAAGGACAGCTTAAGGAAGAAACATGGGAAACACCGCACTTTACACAGCAGTTTGTGAACTTCCAGAGCTAATGAACCCTAGGAAAAGACATGAGGTAGATACTATGTAAAAATGACTCTGGATAAATTAACAAGTCATGAATGTAGGCTATGAGGGAGGCCATGAATATCTGGAATCCAGCCATAGCCATCTGAGGTTTCTAACACGGAAAGCACCAATCCTTCTTTTGAGAATACTTTGAGGAATACATTATCAGGCTTGCCAATTCTAGCCAAGATTTCCAAGTTCATCTTCTACAATTCGGTCTTTTATTTCTTTAGTCAAGACCCAGCCAAGACACAGTTCTCACATCACCTCGGCCCAAGACGGGGCTTGGGACTCTCCAAGGAACACCACCCTCATCTTACATTTATTTGCTCAAGGCTTCCAGGCTGCAGAGCATTTTTCCTGCTCATTTCTCATCTGCATCTCCTAAGGAAAGCCGGTGGGATGCCACTTCACCAGGAGAGAATGGAGTCTCCAAGGTGGTTGAGTGATTTGTTTGTATATTACAGAAAAGTTCAGTGACAATGCTGAGACAAGACAGCTTTCTGGCTCCCAATCCAGGGTTCTTTGGATCTCTTCCTTTTTCTAGAAGGCATAACCTCATTCTAATAACCTGGTTCAGGTCCACAGTGAAGTCTAAAGGGTTGGCTCAAGACTGAAAAGACCCAAGGTATGAGGTCATGGCACATTTGACAGTTACCTAGAGTCTCCAAAGAAAGGGACACGGGGGCACCCACAAGCCCCCAGCTTCCCTTTAGAAAATGGACCAGGCTTTCTTGTAAAAGATTCCAGATTCCCAAAGGCTCAGATTAAGGGAACGCTTCCCATTACTTGTGAAAGGGTTTCTTCCAAGCCAGTCTGAGGAGGAAGAGTAGAAAAACCAAGTTTCTCAACTGCACGTCTGCATCAAGGCTAAACATCATCTTTCACTTGTGACCTGGGTAGTCTCTTGCATGAGAATGCTGCTTTTGGCAGGCTCTTACAACAAACCAAAGTTCATGGAAGGAAGGATAAAGCGATGACCCCCCATAAAAATATCTGTGGGAAAAAGCTCTCTAAATATCTGACTAAATATTCCCATCGCAGACATAAAACTCAATTCTGTGTCCTTTTTTGAGCAGGAAGTTACATTGCGTAAGAAGAATTTCAGTAAGAAAACTTATCCCAAAGCTGGAGAAGACATTATAAGCCCTCACTGTGAAGCATAGAATCTGTATTGTAACAGAAACAGGCGAAAAATCCCACTTACAAACAAAAAACAACCTTAGCTTTTTACCTTGTCCCCAGTAGGAAGGGAACAGTTTTAAAACTTCTAAAACACTTCAGTTGATTTTGTTTGTCTAACAAAATTAAAATATTTAGAAAGACAATATAGCAGAGAAAATGATAGCTGAAAAATAGATTACAAAATAGTACAGACGTGATGCTGAAACTATGTGACAATCCAGATAAAATACCATGTAGAAACAAAGCTGGCTTCCTCCCCACAGTAGGTCGAGTGGCTGTTTCCAATTCTTTAATGCTGCCCAGCCATCTTTCCCTGAGAGCAGCCTCGTCCATACGGTGAAGGGCAGCACAGCCCATGGCCCAGGCTGGGCTCCCGACAACCCAGCCCACCCCCATCAGCCTGTATATACAGCCATGGCTGTAGTCCCAAGCACTGCACAGCAGTATTCGACCCTTGCAGTGCTCAACAGAGGCTCTGTCACAATACCCACTCCTAGGTTACCTGCACACCTTTGCTTGTGTCCACGTCACCTCTTAGGAAGGGATCCTGAATGTAACAGTGACACATGAACAACATCTGTCTTATTTGAACAAATACGTCGCAGGCACCAGCAATCCTCTGAGCCAGATGCTCCAGAAGCCCACTCCTTGTTCTGCAGATGGAGAAACTGGGACACAGGAGGGTGACCAAGCTTGCAAAAGGTCTCACAGCTGGTAAATGGCAGAGCCAGGATTCCAACCCAAGCAATATGGTACCAGAGTGTGAGTTTTATAAACTATCATGCGAGTGAATGCTGCTGCACTAGGCTATGACTAAGGGGGAACCGAAGTGACTCTGATCGTATTTTCAACAGCTGATCTTCATAATTTTTTAAAAGCTCTTTATTTATACAGTGAACCCACAAGACTACCATGAGTCAACAATCAGCCGCGGGAGGAAGTCTGGTATCACAAGCAACGCTTGTTAATTACTCTGTAGGCCAAGCTCCCGGCAAAATGCAGCCCCTGCTCTTCTCTCTCACATAAGTGAGCAAAATGAGAAAAACGAGGTTTTGAGAGTCCCAGGTTCCCAGCCAGCAAGTGATAGAGTCAGGACTCGAGCCTGCACAGTCTGCTTCCAAACTCTGCTACACTGCCCTGGAATACGGGGAGACGGCCAAACCGTGAAAACAGCCGGTGACTCACGCACACTTTCTCTACGGCCTTGGGGAAGCCAGTTTCTCAAGACCTTAGTTTCTTGACTAAGAGGCTGTTTTTATTTTTTCCTCCCACGTGAAAGCATGGTTTTCAAAGACGTCAACTTTCCTACTGTCCCACTGTTCTATTCATCAGAAGTTATGATCCCTCCTCCCCCCGCCTTCTTCTCACCCATCCACATGAGATGACTAACACTGCTACATTCAGTTGGTTTAACTCCGGCCAAAGCCAAGGCCTTCAACACTTACTTGGCCCACACAGGCTCAATTTTCTTCGGGGCTCAGAAACACTGAAACGGTCCCAATGTTTCATTTATGAACATGAGACTGGGAACCACTGAACTGTACACAGTCCTGAAGGTTCCCTCCAGGTCAGGAAGCCCTATAAGCACTGAAGCAAGGTGCTGGCCAGAAGACATCTGATGCAGCCATCGAAAGCCATGAGGACCCTCTCCCTCACAAAACTCCGAGGTAGCAACTGACTTCCCCCACCCACGGGGCTCAGGCTTGTTAGGGAGATGCACGACAAAAGTCAGTTGGGGTTGGGCACGGTGGCTCAGGCCTCATAATCCCAGCTCTTTGGGAGGCTGAGGCGAGAGGACTGCCTGAGCCCAGGGGTTGGAGACCAGCCTGGGCAACTTTTTGATTTATTGTAGAGATGAGGTCTCACCAAGTTGCCCAGGTGGGTCTCAAACCCGTGGGCTCAGGCAATTCACTCATCTCAGCCTCCCAAAGTGCTGGGATTACAGGCTGAGCCACTGAGCCGCAAGTCAAGAAAAATTAGCCAGGCGTGATGGTACATGCCTGTAGTTCCAGCTACTTGGAAGGCTGAAGCAGAAGGATCACCTAAGCCCAGCAGGTCGAGGCTGCGGTGGCCGTGAGTGTGTCACTGCACTCCAGCCTGGGCAACAGAGTGAGACTCTGACTCACAAAAAAAAACCAAAAAGTCAGTTGGGGCCAGAACCAGCAATACTCAAGTCATACCCAAAACCGGAGCCAAGACTGCCCTGTACTTGGTACTTTCCCCCCAGTACCACGATTAAGGATAAAAGGAAGCAAGACCTTCTTGTAATCTTGCAATAAAATGACCAGTCACCCACAGACCCAACAGGCTGAGACAAAGTGACTGGAAATCCAAGCTTCTGATTCGATCTCAGGAAGGCCTGAGTTAGTAGGCTCCACGTTTGGAGGTGGGGGTGGGGTCCTGCTTCCCGCTCAACTCTCCCGCTCACACATGACACAAATTATCAGAGACAAGGAACCCAAACCCCTGCCATATCACGAGGGCAGAGGGGCATGTTCACTCTGCTGCCTGCCCTCCTTGCCCTCCAGGAGCCTGGCTAGAGTGCTTTCCCAAAATCCTCACCTCCCAGGCTGTCCCATCTGGTGCCTGGTCCTTGCCAGCCCTTTCCAGGTTCTGCTCAGATAAACAGAGACAGAGACAGTTTGCAGCTAAGTGGTTCTGGGGGAGAGAACAGCTCCCGGCACTGGCACTCTCGGCAGATGGTGGGGTGATGAGGGCGTGAATGGAGCAGCTCAGTGGGACCGGAAGAGCTGGGTCACACCTACAGCTTGTTCCTTGATTGGAACAAGAGGGCAAGAGGGCTGGCCTGGGCTCTCCCCAGGGCTGGACAGGTGAGCCCCAGGACTCCCCCTACTCCCTCACCGAGAGGCTGGCACTAAGCTGAGGAGCAACTCTGCTTTCTGTCTAGTCTGTAAGTCAGAAAACAACCAGCAGCTAAATTCAAGGGTCCTGGTTTCCAGTCACTAGTTTTATCCTTCATGTTTAAAATTAAAAGGGGAAAGTATGTATAATGAACCCATTTACCTGCACAACCCACAGGCAACATCACAGATCAAAGTGTCTAGTAGGACTTGCTCTGGTCCCCACTGATGATAGCACTCCAAAGCCAGCGTGGCTGATTTTCTCAAATAATACTTACCATTTAAAATAAAGCCAACCACCAAATATATTCTTCAAATAAACACATATAGAATTTTCAGAAAACAGGGAGGGAAAGCTATGAGAACAGGGAATTAACCCTCCCAGAGGCCATCTTGCCCAGCCTTTAGTAAAACTGGAAAGGGTTTTAGGTCCTCAGTGTAAAGATTATGTAATTTAAAAACAAGGCTAGCAGATGTTTGAGGATGGAGATGTCCCAGATCCGTTTTCAGTTTGGCATCTGGAGTCAGGCAGGTCAGAGTTAAATTCTGGTTATGCTGCCTCCTAGCTTTGTGACATTGGGCAAGTTACCTCCCTTTCTGAGCTTCAGTTTCCTCTTTTATAAAACAGAGATTATATAACCTGGCCCACCAGTTGTTATCCACCATGCAATGCGCATTCAAGAGCTCTTCCTGAGGGGTTCTGCTTCCTCTTCCAAATGCTAAGTGAAACACACTCCTCAAGTTTTTCCCCTCACTGCTTCTTTAGTAAGTTTTCTATCTACAGACTCATCCATGCACTGCCATAAACATCACCTCCAAGAGGAGGGTTCACGGGTCCCATCTAATTCCAGATATTTGCTTCTACATGCCTTATAGAGTCCCTCTCTTCTCAGGTCTCCCATTTGCAATGAATCAAGTTCCCAGACACCTGTGTGAAAATCCCAGTGTTACCTCGAATTACTTCTCCCTGCTCTGCAGGGTCAGCCAGGAGCCGAGTCTTGTGTGCCCATTTCTGTAACATGACTGTACCACCTCCTTCTCACCTCCTCACCATTCCACTCAAGTTCTGCCGCTAGCTACAGCAACAGCCCAAAGCCTCACTTCCCTCTGTGCTCGACATGCCCTTTCCCCAAGCTAATCAGTCTTCAGTCCCCTGGACATACCCTCTCACTCATGCTGTTCCCCCAGTTTGGTCAGACCACCACCAACATGCTACTGCTCCCCTAAGGTCTAACTCTTGCTGTGTATTTGTGTTGTCTTCTAGAATACTTCTCTCCATACCCAGAGGTTGGGCTCAGGGCCACATCACCTCTCCTCCTCTTCTTTTTTTTTTTTTGAGTTGGAGTCTCACTCTGTGGCCCAGACTGAAGTGCAGTGGCCGTTCCTGGCCACCGCAGCCTCAACCCGCTGGGCTCCGGTGATCCCTCCGTCTCAGCCTTCCAAGTAGCTGGAACTACAGGCGTGCACTATCACGCCCGGCTGGTTTTTTGATTTATTTATTGTAGAGATGAGGTCTCGCCAAGTTGCCCAGGCAGGTCTCGAACCCGTGGGCTCAGGCAATCCACTCACCTCACCCTCCCAAAGCACGGGATTACAGGCTTAGCCACCAAGCCTGGCTCTCCTCCTCTTCTAAGAGATCTCCTTTCCATGGATGTGCCCCAGCCTAGACACCAACCTCACTTCCACGATCAAGGTCTTCATACTGTACCACCATTACACCCCAGCACATGGTACTTGAGAGTCCCAAGCATTTGCCGAAGGGACAGATATGCTGGTTATTGGGTCAAGTCCATTGAAACTGGATTAATTAAATATGTACACCCTTTCTCCTAGAGTTGACCCTGGAAAATCACTTATATGTATGCTGGTGAATTACCTATATATATTTATGTAAATCTGCCTTATGTTATTAAGTACTAAAGGACAATAGAAAAAATTTAAAGAATTTTCTAGAGTTAGGAGATGTAAGCATTTCAAAAGTAGTAAGTCTATGAGAACGAGGGGGTAATCTCTGAAGACATAACTAGGGTGGGAAGTACAGCCAACCTCTCATTTCCCAGTCAGCCCCAGACCGCTAAAGGCAACACACATGAGGGTGTGTTTTGACTGAGCATCCCCCACCGTTTGCAATAAAGCAGGTGTGTGGGATTCGGCAGTGCTTCCAGGTGAGGGCGCCATCTTTCATCTGCAGATCCAAGCCCCATTCCTCCTCCATTCTATCCCAAAACACAGTGCCTCCGCATTCTTGGTAAGGGATGGACCTCCAGCAATTGTTACCTATAAGGCCATGGCAGTAGAGGAACATGGTGGGCATGCCTAGAGGAAGAAAAGGCTTCAGTACAAATTTTCAACCTACTTACCTAAGGTGGGACAATCATTTCAGAGAAGAAATGCTGCAATGCAGGCAGTCCCTTCCTGGGCAGCTTAATGTGTTTTGCAAGCCTTTGGGATAAGTCTATATATGGCTTGGTAAATGTTTCTACTCCAACCTCTAGGACCCATATGAAAGAGGCAGGCTCTCAGAGAACCCTCAGAGAAGTCTCTAAAGCCTTCTCTCTAATTCACCCTTCTGCTCGCTTAAGGAAGCTGCACAGGATGGTTTTCAGTCTGGGTCCAATCTGGTGGCAAAAATCAGACAGTAATCTAAGCAAGGGAAGTTTAATACAAAGAATATGGTAACTGAGTAACCATAAAGATGGAATAAGTATCTAGCCAGGCATGGTGGCTCACACGTAATCCCAGCACTTTGGGAAGCAGAGGCGAAGGATTGTCTGAGTCGCACTTTGGGAGGTAGAGGCAAGAAGATTGCCTGAGTCCAGCAATTCAAGACCAGCCTGGCAACTTAGTGAGACCCTGTCTCTATAATAAATCAAAAAATTGCAACAGAATGAGACTCTGGTGTTTTTGTTTTTTCCAAAAAGAAAAGAAATCTAGAAGATGTCCTGGGACTGCTGAAAAGTACCCAAAAAGAGACAACTTTGCAAGGGGGGGTTCAGAGTTTGTTGAAGATGGTATGGATGGCAGAAAAGTTCCCGGATACCTAGGTCAGAGATGATCCATAGTCACCAGAAAAGAAAGGACAACGCTCTGGGGTCAGGTGAGCAAGGTTGGGTTAAAGACAGGCATGTAGGAGGAGTCAAGCACATACAGGGAGTGGTCAGGTGCTGCTGGAACTCAACCCTGAAGAGGCCTCCCTTGCAAAAGCTTGGCACATCAATGCATAATCTGGACCAGAGCAGCTCAGGGCCGTCTCAGGACAAATCAGATGGTCAGTACCATAGGGCCCCGGGATACATACTCAGGGGCTGATGAGAGGATGCAGTGGCCTGGGTTGGGGGTGCAGCCCACCCTATCTCAGGCTCCCAATTCCGCCACTGCAGCCAGAGCTGGAGAAGACAGAGCAGCAAATGCTGGAGAAAGCTGTGTCTTGCAGGAACCCAGGAGTCGAGAGAAACAACAGACTCTCCAGGAGCCTAGAGTCTTACACACGGACACAAAGATACCAGGAACTGGGAAGAAAAGTTCTCTTCAGAGTCATCGACTTACAGAGGGCAATGGAAAAATATGTGGAGGTCCCAGACCCATTTTCAGAGATCAGGCAACAGAGGGCGAATTTGGAGCCAGGAGGCAATCCTCGAACACTGGCACAAGATGTAAATCTCTTTTATCATCAACCCAAAGTCCTCTCTAACCACGTTTTTATTTAAGTCTAGACTTGGGGGGGGGGAAGAGTACAACAGATGGGCCCTATACAATGAATTGGCAAAGAGGCAATAAATACCGAACAGTCTTTCAGAAAACAGCAGGGAACGAGGTAGGCCCTGAGAGGGGCTTGCAACAGGGCAAATCTCAGAGATGTGGGGAGAAGTGGGGCGGTAAGACATGGGGCGGGGATAGAGCATGTCTGCAGGCAGAGATGACACAGCCAGGGCACAGGCAGATGGATCTGAGGCCACAATGGAAGCACAGGTGGGAGCTGGTAGGGCCTGGCCTCTCCACTAGGAAAAGGATGAGCTGTGCCCATGTCTAATGCTGCAGCAGGGGACTGTAAGCACGTGTTTTCTTTCACACTCCCCTCTATTTAAAAAAGAAAACTGACTACGTCACACAGGAATAGGAAATAAGGGGAAAATGAAGAACTCCCACTGGATGTCCACAATTATAAACACAGTTGGCTTTCGTGCCCACAGAGATTTAATTTCTGTAAAGCAGATCCAGTTCATAGGGACAAGGAGCATGACCTGAGTGGTTTGTCTTCTACCATCGGCTCTCTGACGCACCTGACAGAATAGCCTTGCCAACTGCTAGCCAATGGGCAAAGGAGTGGTTTCTGCTTTTCCCTATAATTGAAAAACGCAATGAACAACTTCCTCGGTGCATCTTTTTTTATCCTGATTATTTCCTTTGGAAAAAGCACAAAGGGTACACCCTTTAAAGTAATTTAGCATACAGTCAAGCTATCCCCCTCACTTTCATCCTCAACCCTCTCACCAAAGTCAGCCTGATTCATCCCTTCACCATATCCCCAAGAGAAGGAAGTCAACCACACCAACAGTGGACATTGTCTTTCCTTCTCTTTCATCTTTATCCAAAAAAAAATAAAAAAAATAAAAAACCTCCCCGTGTTACTTGACACCATCTTTTCATATGCTTTCTTCCTGGTTTTCCAGTTCCAGGTGCCCTTTGCCCATTTTTCTATGTTGGGATCTCATTTAATCTTCACAACAAGTTAAAAAATATGAAGCAATTAGTTTGAGGCCACAGAGTTAATCCTGGTGAAGCCAGAATTTGGAC